CCTCGGGCTTCCTGTAGTCAGCCGCTGGTCAGTTTCAGCAGCGGCTGAATCTGGACGCCAGTTCCGACTTACATACAAATTCGACTTAAGAAAAAACCTACAGTCTCTATCTTGTACGTAACCCGGGGACTGCCTGTAGCATGTCTACACTACAGGAAAGCCTCAAAATTGGTCCGAGGCAGGCTTCTGTAATGTGGCTGTACTACCTCAATTTAGAGCCCAAGGAGGCACTGGGGAGTAATTACTTTGAATGGCCCTGGGGAGGAGCTCTTTCAAAATAACAGCGGTGGAGCGTCCACACTACTGCTATTCCAAAATAGGCATTATTCCTCATGGAATGAGGTTTACAAAAGTCGGAATAAGCCGTCCGTTATTTCAGATTTATTTCAAAATTATGGAATTGCTGTGTAGATGCTTGCATTGTTATTTCGGAATAATGGATGTTACGAGAGACTTTTGTGCTGATAACATGGTTATCACACTGACCAATATTGTTGCATTGTTTTCTTGAAGTCCTCCATCTGTCTGTATCCATCTGTTGTCCCTTATCTTAAATTGCAGTTGTAAGCTATTTGGATGAGGAGCCATCTACTTGTTCTGTGTTTGTACCATGTCTATCACAGTGGGATCATGATGACTAGAGCTCTCACAAGCTATAAATAACAATAATAATGAAATAGGTAATAAAGTCCTTATAACACTGAAAAAACCCTTTTTTCAACAAATTCTTATTTACAAATAACCTGTCACTTCCCCCTCTCCTCTTCTATTCACAGAGACATCAGCAAGAATCAAGTATCTGATATTGCTCCTGACGCATTCCATGGCTTGAAATCCCTCACCTCGCTGTAAGTAAGGCTGAGTCAGCTGTTTGGTGAGAATCTCAATGTGTTTAAAAAAAAAGAATAGAATTGAGTGGTGGCTGGTGATGCTTTATGTTTCTGTGCAGAGTCGTCAACTAGTGTGAAGCGCCTAATCTTTCGTAAATGAGAAATTGATCGTGCAGACTTGAAGAGGGAACTGTTTACACAACTCTAATAAGTTCCTTTATAGATGCGTACCCTGAAGGTTATTTATTTGTTCACTTCTCCAAAGCCATTGAATGAGTGCATTATTTCTATGTCTGTGCTGTCTACGGTTATGTAGACTTATCTCCCGCTTCTTCTTGGTGTCCAAAAATACACCAAAGCTCAAAGTCACTTTTCAGTAGTGCTTTTAGAAAGGTCTTGGGAGAGGGAAGCTCTTTTCTACACCAGCACCATCTTCCATGTTCTCAGCAGCATTCAGATTCTGGTTTTCCTTTTGCAAATTACATAATGAAGGCCCTTAGCCAATGAAGAAAGTGTTCCTATTTCTGACCTGTAAGTATTACTTTTATCAACAAAATGGACTAAAATATTACTTAGTACAGAAATAAGAGGAGGGAAAACAGAATCTCTTCACAGTTGCTTTCTTTTTTCATACAGACACTGTCTGTGGTTTCCAGTTGAGTTTGAACTGCATTTTATCTGGTACCCACCATCAGTTCTACTTAAAACACTGAAGCTTGCAACAACAAATAAGGGGCAGTACATGGTAATTTGCTGCATAAGGAAAATGAACCAAAGAAAAAGTGTTGGGGGAAAGTCCTAGTAGGAAGAGGAGTCTAAACCTTTGGAATGGCATTGCCTGAGTTAATGTGAAATTGTTTTTAATACAATTTAGATTACTTTGGATTAGAGACCACTAGAAATTATGGAGTCGATTTAAACAGAGTTTATGAACTGTAGAAATGCAGCCAGCATTGCATTTTCTGGTTGCCAATCAGCATTAATAAATAATCTGTGCAACTTGTTGATCAATGCAAATTAGGGATGTTAAATATAAATTAATCGAATAGTCGATTAACCCCATGAATTCTTATCAGTTATTCGACTATTCTATAGTCCCTGGAGGCAAGGTTGGCACCTAATGCCCTCTGGCCCCACTCTTGAGGAACCCTCTGCCACTCCACACAGCTGCCTCTGTATTAGAGGCAACAGCGTGGGGTGCCAGGCAGGAGCTGGTTTGCAAGAAGAGCCAGTTTAAAAACCAGGTCTCCTTGCGGACTAGTTGTCTGTCGCCCTGCGCTGCTGCCTCTGATAGAGAGGCAGAAGCACAGGGTGGCAGCAGCCCTGTCCGGGGGGTGGTGGGCTAAGCTCCTGGACCCAGTATGAGCCAGAACTGAGCCTGGTTGCCTGCCCACCTGGCTCCTAATACACTTAAAATGCAGAGCCGCAGCGAGGGTATGTCCCAGGCCTGCACCCAAGCCAGGACCAACCAGGCTACTGGCCAGCCTGCTAAAAAACTTACTGGCAAGGGGAGGGAGGAAATGTGTATAGTCTATAGCATTAACCTATAAGCTTATGCTTATCAGTTAATTGGTTAATCAACTACACTATTACAGCCTTAATGCAAATATTGAAAGACTTGTCAGCATTAAACTATATACTGTACTATGCCCTTGAGACAGAAAACTAAAAGATGGTTTTTATCCTGTCTTCTAAACATACCTGGTTGGATGCCAAAGATAGGTACTGTTGCCAGTTCGTATGGAATAACATGAGGATTGAAGTATTCTCTTGCTGCTCTGGATCTGGTCAAATTCCACCAAAATGTTAGTAAATGATTCAGTGAAAAAAAAATGGTGTTCACTGCTTAATGTAATTTTGGCTTTGTGCTAAACTAGCACTACTCAACAGGCTAGTGCTATAGGCCAAGGGATAGAAGCAACTTTCAGAATCTAGGCAGCTTCAGCGCTTATGCCCTGCCAAGCTCAGGGACATTCATGTTTAGATAGAATTGACACGGGCACCACAAGTTAGCCTCAGCAGCTGGGGAGGCATGCTGAGGGCGCATTTACACTGCAGCATTTTTCCAGAAAAATGACCGTTTTTCCGGAAAAACAATATTTGTGTCCACTCTGCCATTGAGTTCTTTTGACAGAAAGCTGAAAGAACAGAGGGGTTTTTCTGATGATGGTAAACCTCATCCTACCAGGAGGAAGCCTATTTCAGGAAAAGGTGTGTGTGAACGCAGAAGAGGGAGTTCTTTTGAAAAAAGAGGCCTCTAGGAAATAACACAGGTGCCCTGGTGGCCTCTCTATCCAGACTAATTACAACTGAAATGTGAGATAGCATCCAATCATTGTGGACGCTATCTTTCGAAAAAACACATTGCTTTTTCGTTGCGCTACTACTGTGTAGACGCTCTCTTTCGAAATAAGCTTTTCTGAAAGATCTCAGTTTCCCTCCTTCTGTAAGCAAACTAACCACTACAGCTGGTGCTCTAATTCCATTTCAAGGGACTGGATTACTTAAACAAGGGTGGTTACATTCAAAACTAGGAATTCTAGGGTATTTATTATTGCCTGAATTAGGTAGCTGTTAAAAGTTTCATCCACAGGGTTGCAAGTTGTGAATAGTTAAATCAAAGATCACGTTCCTGTATTAACTCTGTTTCTGCAGTCAATGGACTTTCTGAAGTAAATTAATTTTTGGTTCATCCATTGAAACATCTGGCTTGACTATCAGAGAGGGGATTGGATGAAAGAACAGTGTCTGATTACTGTGCATAGTATCAAAGATACAAGAGAATGCTGGGAGCCTGTAGGGTTTCTGCACATTTAATTAGACTGTGTCAGAGTTCTTAAGGGCCTTATCCAGACAATCTAGACACATTTTGCGTGATGCAGCAAAGCAGCCTAAGCCCTTCAGTTGAGAAGGAATAGATTTCAGACCTGTGTAAGATGAGAAATCCTTCCCCATCTGAACTGAGCTCACAAGTGATTTATCAGCTTAGATCAGCTGGAACATAGATTAGTCTTAGTATTTGGCATGTCATTCATATATCACATCATCATGTGCCGTGTGATGATGTTTCTGTCATCCTGGGTGATGTGAAATCTGCACTAAAACACTATTTAAATAAATGTTGAATCTATTTTAAAGTAACAAATTGCATCCAGTATTTTTACCTTGATTTATTTAGCCAAATTGTTGTGCAGAAATATGAAATGCAGCAGCAAAAAATCCACGTTTTCCTAAAATATCAGAAATTTAATGCTGCTATTGCCCACAATCCTTGCTGCTGTTTTGAGAGCTCCTATTCCTTGTTGAATCTATGCCATTGTCCTCATAATTTGGAAACATAGTGCTTCAGAGCAAGAATCACTTTCACAGTCTGAATGGGAGTTAAAAGCCTTTTGAAGGTGGAAAAAGCCATTGCACTAAGTCCTGGTCTGACACTTCACTAAGAATGTTACATCAAACGCAAAGTAAGGGAACTATTAGCTGGAAAATATATGGTACAGAGTAAAGGATTTAATATTGGGCTTTTTATATCCATCAAGTTCAGGGTCAACCTTCTGGAGAAAAACTTTGTATTCTGGGACAGTGACTAAACTGCACAAGTCACAGCTAGATTTGCAGGAGGTTAAACAACAAAACGAATTGTGAACCCATTACTTCAGGTACTTTTAAAGCAGACAACTAACCCACAGTGCTTATGGAACACAAGAAATATGTCATTATGCTGGTCACGTGATCCCAAATTCCTTAATCCTGTTATTGGTTAAGAGATTGAGAACTAGAGATTGTGGTAAAGTCATTTGTACCCTTCTAGTCCAAGTTGCTGCCAGTGCAGTATTGTTTAAGGTTTAATATTTTCTAGGGTCCTGTTCAGTATACTCTAATGGCAAGTGTTGGACACAAAACTCTGGGGAAAATTTTCCTTCTTTTTCTCTAATTATTTTATCTAATTTAGCAATATCAGTGTTTGCTCAGTGTGCGAGCAACTGTGGCATTCAACACCAGGTTGTTTGAATCAAATTAACCTCTAAATATCACGTTCTGCTAAAAAAAAAATAAAGTTTAATGGTATCTCTTAGCAGACAATAGAAGTATGTCACCAAACAATATGAAACAGACTAGCATTGTACCATTTGAAGGCATTTCTGACCTCTTTTTCTAAGGGTTTTTGTTTGTTGGTTGCTTTCTTTCTATGAAGAGCTAACAAGATATGCTTCTTTATGTAGAATTGTGAAGGAACAACAAGGTTCACTTTCTGTAATGCACTGCTTGTAAAGAGTTTTTAAAAAGTTACTCCTCTTGTCAGTTCTCTGAATCGAAGCAATTAACTGGATCAGTAAAATACATTGTCCTGTGTCTAGGAGCCTATTTAATTTCCATGAAGAGCTGAATATAGCTGTGGAGATTTTATTTTATTGTTTTGGTGAAGAAACTCCTCATCATTTTAATGGGGCGACTTTCTCAGGTAGGGATGTGAACGACTAGTCGACTGTCCGATAAGCAAATGCTTATCAGATAGTCGACACACTAGTCAGCTAGTCGCTCCCCCCTTCTCCCTGCTGCCTCTATCAGAAAGAGGCAGCAAGGGGCGGGGAAGTCAAGTTTGCTTCAAAGCGGCAGCACTACATGGAGCCCAGGCTCTTCCACTTTGAAACACTGCATGCAGCCCGGGGTCCCCAGCTGACTCAGAGTCCCCGCTGACCCCTGGCTCCATGTGGCGGTGCCGCTTTGAAATGCTGTGGGGAGCACGGGGCCAGCAGGACTACTACTGTAGTCCTTTGACTACATTTCTGCTGTTGCTATACTTAAAAGGCGAAAGCACTGCGGGGAACCGTAGCGCTTTTGCCTTTGAAGTATAGCAACAGCAGAAAGGTAGTCAAAGGTGGAAGCGCCCTTATCGATTAATTTAATAGTCGATGCATCGACTGCTCGATTAGCCAAACAATGAACATTTTACATCCCTACTCTCAGGCTTCTGCTGTAATATGTGCAATGCAGTTGGCAGTTTGGGTTTTTCAGGCACTTTTCTCCCCAGTATTTGGAAGGTTGTTGACTGTCTGGAAGTTTTTGCTAGCTGAAATGCACCCGGTCTGCCAGGTTTGCGGCATGTGGGTCACAGCCATATTAAAGGCATTTAGCTATGAACTGATGGGCTGATGGCTCTATATGCTATTATGCTATTAGACCTGCGGTTTTTAAACTATTGGTCTCAACCCAGTACTGGGTCAAGGAATGTCAGCTACCGGGTCTCATTGTTCCTGGGTGATCAGATGACCAGTGCAGGCGCTAAGTCAGACTACCTGCCTGTCCTGGCCACTGCACAGTTATACACTGCACCCGAGAAGCAGCCAGCTCTTAGGTGGGGGCGTTCAGTGCACTACACTTGGCCTGGGCACTAGCTCTGCACTACCATTGGCTGCGAACCTGCTGCTGGTGCTTCTGAGGCACAGCCTGAGCTGAGGTGCCAGGAGATGCAGGAAGCTGCGTTAGCATTCCTACTGCACCGCTGACCGGGAGCACCTCCTGCCCCAGCCCTGACCCCCAAAGCCAGAGCTTCCTCCTGCACCCCAAAGCCCTCATCCTCAGCCCCACCTCAGAACCCACACTCCGGTCAAATTATGTTGGGTCGTGGTCATCAATGGTTTTCTTAAACTGGGTCATGAGAAAAAAAAAGTTTGAAAATCGCTATATTAGATGACAGCCCTCAAGTTCATCAACTCTACATATGTCATTAAAACATTTGTAAGCCACCTGGAGATGTTTTCCTGACTCATATAGATAGTATATGATTCTTCAAAATTAATTATTCTGGCATTAGAAGAAATAGTCTAATCAGAACTGTCAGGGATGAGTTGAACAGAAGTTATGCACTGGGCATTCTTGCACACAGGATTATGTGTTTCTTTTCATGGTTCCCATCTACATCCAAACTGGTATCTCTCTTGAACGGACACCACTCATGTGGGTGTGTATAGTTGGAAGGGAGCAGGGAACTGTAGGGAAGAGGAGAGGAATCAGTGTTTGTGGTCCTTTTAACTTTCTCATTTTTAAATTTCAAATCGAGCATAGACATCAGTTCTGCACTTACATTCAGCCTGAACTCTTCCTCCCGCTTCTGCCGCAGAGGGAGTAGCTATCTGTAAATCTCTTCCTTTATCTGGCAGTAAATGACAAGTATAAATCCACTTTCATTCTCCCAAATAGCTTGTGAAGCAAATAAACCATTAATGGGACTCAAGGAAAGTAAGACGGGTAGAAGTGCTAGTGTAAGTCTTTGTTAATTCACTAATTGGCTGATTTAACCATTTCTTTTGTTTATTTTCTGTTATTGTGCATTTTACTCTGTGAGTGCATCTAGACTGGCAAGATTTTGCGCAAAAGCAGTTGCTTTTGCGCAAAAACTTTCCAGCTGTCTACACTGGCCCCTTGAATTTGCGCAAGAGCACTGACTTTGTAGTGTACAAAATCAGTGCTTCTTGCGCAAATACTTTCACGCTCCTGCTCGGGAAAAAGCCCTCTTGCGCAAGAATACTTGCGCAAGAGGGCCAGTGTAGAAAGGGAAGAACTGTTTTGTGAAAAAAGCCCCGATGGCTAAAATGGTGATTGGGGCTTTCTTGTGCAAAATCGCCTCTAGACTGGCCACGGATGCTTTTACGCAAAAGCATCCGTGCCAATCTAGATGCACTTTTGCGGAAATACTTTTAATGGAAAAACTTTTCCGTCAAAAGTATTTCTGCAAAATCATGCCAGTCTAGACGCAGCCTGTACGTTTTAATGCAAAGTATCTTGGGTCTGATTTTCAGTTGTTGAAGGGTGCAAAAATGTGTATAGTTGTGGACCTAATTTGCAAATGTGCCTAGAAAGCCTGCAAAAAAAGGGCAGGGGGGGAGGGGGAAGTCAATGCACCAATGAGGGAAGCAAATGCACATTCACTTTACAGCTCTTAGTAGCTAAATGTCCAAAAATAGGCCCCTGGTTGTTTAACACATCTTTGAGAGCATGTAGAATCATTGAAATGATCTGCTGGGTCTCCCTGAGTAATTTTTGATTATGGTTTTTCTCATTTCAATGCTGATATTCCAGAAACGCTGCTATGTGCATTTGTATAAGAGAGGCGGGAAGATGAAAGGTTGGTGATACGGTATGGGGTGTGAGATTGACCAGGATAGAGATGCATTTCCCACAAGTAACTCTAGCAGCTGTACTTGCAGGCATGCCGTTTATAGTGTATCAAAGGCAAAATATCTTAGGAGTGGGGACTTAACCGCAGTCTGGCTGATGTGAGCATCTGAACACGTGCCCGTCTCAAAGATAATCAAAGCTCCCGGGTAAATGTTTCCAGGCTCTCAATTAGAAACACTAAGAGATGCAGGGAAATAAGATGCACTCTCATGTGCTTCCCCCGTATTTGTCTGCTGCTGCTGCATGGGAAGATTTGACTTCCACTGTGACATGGTGGGCAGGCAATGACATTAGTTAATTTGGCTCAGCGTAGCACGGAGCATTAATATGAATGGCAAATAGGTGCCTGAGCTATCATGCGACCTTTTGTTTAGCCAGTTATTTGTTCAAATGTTAATATGCCACATTAGTGCAGGCCCCATTAGGCTTGGAAATGTTTCTTTGCATGGCTTCTAAAAATCTAAAGTTTTGTTTTATTATTAACATTTTTTTAAAACAAATTTAAAAAATAGACAGCATCTAATACTTTCCAAGATTTACCCTTGAAATGAGCATTGAATTTCACAGTCTTGCTACTTTTAAATATACCCCCGTGGTTAATTGCTTTAGCCACATTCTTCCAAAGTTCCTTTTAGGTAGCTAGCTGAGTTACAGATGTGTCAGGTACTGAGATTGTTGTAAGACAGGGCTACTCAACCCGTGGCCCATTTGTTTGCGGACTGTGGTGTGATTTGGGATTACGCAGGGCTCAACACGCAGCCCGTAGGTGGAATCCTTTGAACACGGCCTCCACTGGGAACACACTCCACAACGGCGAGTCAATATAATGGTCTTCTGTTGATATGCATTTTAGTAGTTAAATTCCTGGACTGTCATTGTTCATTAAAAGTGCTGTTATATGGGTGGAAATCAGGCAAATATTGCATTTTATTAGTGGAACTAACTGAAATGGGGTCTGTGTGTTGTATAGTCTTGCCTTTATCTTTGTATTCATCCGTCAGTGTGAAAGAAGCTATTCACATATATTTGCATAGATACTTGCATATATATGCAACCACACTTAAGTTGTCACCCTCGGCATATGCTGTGAGTATCGTTGTGACACCCGGGGATTCCAGAGTTGAGTAGCCCTGATGTAAAATATCCTCTAGGACCGTGGTCCCCAACACGGTGCCCGCGGGCACCATGGCGCCCGCGGGGGCATTTCTCGGCGCCCACCAAGTGCTCAGGGCTGGCCTGGCCCCGGGCACGTGGCACATGTGCGGTGCCGGAGCCGGCCCCAGGCGCGTGGCGCACTGTGAGCGCCGGCCCCGGGGGCGCCGCGGATTCACCCCCCGCATGGGGGGGAGAAAGCGCTAGCGCTGGCCCTGGGCGCACAGCGCTTGGGGGAGAGAGCGCCGGCCCCGGGCGCGCGGCGCTTGGGCAGAGCCTGGGCTGGGAGCCTGTGAGTTTTCCCTGGTGAGTCAGGAAGCTGCCGTGCTGCATAACGTTAAACAAGCGAGGGCGTAAGTGCTGTTTGCCACGTGGGTTACAGTCGTGTCTAATGACCCAGCTGGGATCAGGGCCCCGTTGTGCCAGGCGCTGGGGGGGGAGAGCGCCGGCCCCGGGCGCGGCTATGGGGGGGCCCCAGCCCCGGGCACACAAGTGTCCCCGCCCCCTGGCACCTGGCGGATGAATGGCCTCGCCCCCTGGCGCCCGGCAACCTCTAATGGTTGGGGACCACTGCTCTAGGACAACGGTAATCAGTACTAAGGGCAGTTTTAGGATGATGGCCATTGATGCAGGGTGGAGAATTTCACTGCTTTCCACCACAGCATGTTTGGCTTGGGTTTAGGGGAACCCTTTGGAACTTTTTGCATATCAGGCAGCATCAAGGCACATGTCACATAGCAATGAATCTGTTTATACTGAGTAACTCCCATCTGTGCCCCCAAATCTTTTCTCAGTTTCACAACTGAATTATTTTTATGGTTGAGAAATATTCATATTCCCTTATTTTTCCCAGTTGGGCTCCATTGCTCATACTGAGCTATGCTGAGATTGCAACTGGTACCTCATGAAATGTTATTTGAATGCCTAGTTCAGCTGCTAATAGAAGCTTAGACCTCATTGAGACAGGGTCCTTTAAAATATACAAATCCCTGGTTCATGTTTCAAGATCTTTAGAAATTAATAATGCAACATCACCATGCTGAATTCTAGACTTTTTGCATCATGACCTGGAGGTATCAATGGTTAAAACATTTCATATGGGGGAAGGAAGGGAGTAGACAGACTGGAAAATAGTTAGAAACAGTTTTTGGAGAATGTCCAGTTTCTGCATTAAAAACACTTTTCAAAACCAGACAAATTCTGAATCATAACAACTCATTTAATACCATGTGCCCTATTGAAAGGAAAATGAGATCAGTAGTTAAATGAAATGGCTATAGATCCTGGGAATGGTCCATTAGATCAATAAAACGATAATTCAGAGAAGGATGTGAGGAGAGTAAGCTGGATGTGACTCACTATTCTTTTGTTTTCCCGTATCTTTCAGAGTGCTCTATGGAAATAAGATCACCGAGATTCCCAAAGGCCTTTTTGATGGGCTTGTCTCTCTGCAGTTGCTGTGAGTATGATCTCTTCTTTTACTAGTATTCAGTCTAACCAGATTTTTAGGTTTTTAGCTTCTAGTTTTAACTTCACAAAATTCCTTGTTGGCCCATTACCTTGTGCACTGAAATCTCATTGAGACACTTCACTGACTAGGAGAGCAATGGGGTGAAGAAGAGAAAAGACAAAAGGTGAGTGTGATTTGTACAGCTTGGTAACTATATCAGGCAGCTGATACAGTAGATTAAATTTACAAGAGGAAGAACACATTAATTCTGGTTGATGAATTATGAAGAAACTCAAGATCTGAAAGTCGCCACCAATTGCCAGTGAAGATGATACCAGTTAATAATTTTTATACTTCTTTTCTTATTTGCTATTTCTGTGTAGCATATGGTGAGTAAATGTATAGACCCTCAATGACAATCAGTCATGTTGCAGATAGCCTGGGCCTATAAGGACAATACTAATATTCAAGGATATTGAAATAACCTGCAGGGTTTAGTTCCATATCTGTATTATTTTTATTACATTGATTGTGACTTCCTTTGAATACAAATGGTTTGCATCCCGTGCCGTTAGTATATTTACAGAGTCAAATAGTTTAAAATGCAGATCTGATTTATGATTAAAAAAAACATTATGACCTAAGGAAAGATCTACTCTGGATTATGAAATTATTTTTATTTTTCATTAACTCACTTGGAGAAATAGAGATAGGACACAATTAAAATTTGTAGAAACAAAATTTAGCACCTTGAACCTATCCCGAGGGAGAGAGAAATCAGCGACCATCTCATCCAGCCAGCAGAGGGGGCAAAAGTTAAATTGATTTAAACTGTATTCCCAGAACTCAGATTATCATCCCTGACAGATGAAGAAATAGATGAAGTTGGTCCCATATAGGCCAGCATCAGATCATCAAACAAATACAAAGAATGCAATGGAAATGGGGAAATTGAGTATTTCTAGAGGAATGCAACAAATTAGTCAAAAGATATCTTATATATAAGCCTCTTAGTCTGTCTCAACATACACTGATTGGAAATCCAAATAATAATTGTTATTATTTACAATACTGTGTTACTCAGCTGCCTTGATCCATGCCATCACACTAGGGGCTGTACAAAGGCAGAAATAGATTTGGATGATAAACTATGGGTCACCTTTCTCTGAAAAGGGACAAGATGGGAAAGAGCATATGAGGCAGATATATTAAAAGTCTTCAGGAGAGAATTCTGCAAACTGTTCATCACTCTCAGGCATTCAGTTACCTCCTGTTGCTTCTTTCATGCTCCTTTTCTGTCAGCCTGAACTATTCAAAGCAGGCCCCGCTATATCTTAAGTTACTTCTGGTCCCAGCATATGCACTAGTAATAGAATAAAAATGCAGGCCTTTGTTGTTTTGTTTTGTTATGCATGAGGACAGTTGACCCTCAAGTATTCTGAAACTTGGGTGCAGTATCAATTGATACAAGAGGCACATTCGTTATTGTAGTTCACTAGCAGCCGCATACAGTTCAGTGAAAGAATTACAAGCTAAAAGAGCCTTTAATTCAAATAATCCTCAGTCTCATTATGGGGGTCTTTTTTTGGTTATGCTGAAGTAAAGAATAAAGGATTCAGCTTGGTCAACTCTGTCCATATTGTGCCTTTGACATCCATGGATTTACAGGAATTCTCCATCATTGGATTCAAAGCTGCACAAGTTACAGAGGGCTATCTTAATGTTCTGTACAAATAGAACCTTTGAATGAAGCATAAAGATAAGTTTATTTGCTGCTTTTATATTTATATAATAGTCCTTTTGTGTATGTAACACCTACTTTATGTTACTTCTTTAAGCCCAAACGCTGAAACACTAATACTGAGATTAGCTAAAGTGACACTTCTCTGTTAAATCGACAAAATCCATAGTTCAAAGATTCTGTAGTTAAACCACTTTAAGCCACATCAAAATGAGAAGATCTAAGTGGATAAATCTTAAAAAAGATTATCCGAGTTAGGGCTTCCCTGGGTAATCTTACTATGGGGGCTTTCAAATGACTTTTTGAAAGTATTTGTAATGTAAAGTAGCTATTGGCAAAGATAAAGTGGAATGATCATGCTTGAATGCAAACAAATGTCTGTACATTTTTGTGACTGGTGCTTTGAAGCAGCTCTTACAGATTTGCTTGTTGTATTTTAATGGATGCCTAAAACGTAAATGGCATGGATTGGCTTTAGACCTGCTGTTGAACAGTTGGAAAACTGCCCTCTGATTAAATCTAATTTAGCATTCAGTGGGCTCTTGATTGGATTTCTCCTTATTAGTCTGGAGACACACTGATAAAAAAGCTTTGATTAGAATACATTGGTAGCCAGTGTAGTTTTCTAAGCCTGAACTGGAGCATTTTTGAAAGTGTATCAGTGCATTTTAAAGCCGTATACGCTGTCAGGAAGGGAGGGTGAGGGTAAGTCCTCAAAGCATTCAGGGTTTGGCTCAGGAGGAAAATCTCTTAAATTGCACAGCAGCTGCTACTCTGTGATTTGCTCTCAATTACACTATTCTTTTAAACACCACAAAAACCTGAACATGCTTGTGTCTTGTATATAAAATAATAGAGCCACATGCTGCCTCTCCTAATTAGGAAGAACAGTATCTTAATTCTGCAAGTAGTTCTATTAATGTCAGTGGCCTAATTTCACAGCAAGGTGCTTCTCAGCTTGGGTTTGGATGGCAGAATCTTACCCATAATATCTTTAACAATCCTGTCTGTCCCCGGAATGTGTGAAAGATGATCAATGTAGTGTACATTAGGCCACATAGAATGGTGGTTAGAATTATGTAATTCAACTGGACAACACAGGGTAGATGAGGCATATATACCATAGGCAGAAAAGCATGGTTCCATGGTATCCTTTTTTTAAATTTAACTCTATTACTGACCTGGATTAATGTAAAATTTGCAGGATAAATGTAATTTCTGAAGTCTGTGCCATGATTAACTTACTAAGAGTCTGACCTAACATATAATGAGTTACCTTATAATTGGATTTCAATTAGAATGCTGCTTTCTGAGATCTTCTTACTGTTCCATAAATACGCAAGTGTAACCAGCAATATCCATGGAATCCAACTGCAATACAGATTCTAGCAAGTGGGATCCTCTCTTCCTGGACTGTATCATGTTCAGAGTAATCCTGTTCTGGGGTTCTGGTAGTTCAAATGCTAAAGATTCTGGGGGCTTGTTTTTGACCCTCTGCTTCTGTCATGGAAGTTATGATCATGTTCTTTCTACTCCGCTTATCAGGCTATATCAAGTGCCTCTCAAGTCGTTAGTTGACTGCAGTTTTCCTGATGCAAGGTGTCCTTTTCTCCAGGAAGGAGAAGTGGCATGTGAATTCATTAGCAACCTGTAACTTTCATTGAAGAAGTGGGTTGCACCCACGAACACTCATGATTCTATCTATATTTTTAGTTAGTCTCTAAGGTGCTGCAGGATCTTTTTTTTTATTATTTTTTAATTTCCAGGTCATAGCAACAAGCTTTAAAAGGAGATTGCAGCTGTGGGACAGCATTTTCATTATTAGCATTAGGTGTCTGACATGTATGAATATTACAGAATCGGAAAGTGCCTCTGCCGGAGATGCGCATTTGTAAGTAAACATTAGCCATAGTCAGTTTTACTACCTTTCCAGGAGGTTTTTAACTAATGTTGGTCTGTCTGGAGACTGTAATAAAATTAAAGCAACTTTATCTGTTTTTCAATTTTCTTGGAACATAGACAAGACCTTTCAAGAATTCCTGAGTTTCTCAAATAACACGTCAATCACAATGCAGTAGGTAAAACTTAACACAACGCGGTTCGTTCTTACTCTGCAGCAGTTTGACAGATAAGCTTGATGATTGCTCTGCTTACCCTCTCATGGCTAAATCTGCATTACCGTCCTGCAGTGAAACACAGCCATGATTCAAATGGCTCATGCCATTTGAATTGTAGATAAAAAGCACATAGTTTAACCACCTTTTCATATCTAAACAATGCACTTTATCCAGCCATATTAAAGCAAACATTTCCAGACTCTTTTTATTGCCATTGGACACATATGCTTTGTACTATCTTTGTGTCTGGAGTCAATAGGATATCATAACATTTTCTGTTTCAAAGAGATTAGGTAACAAGTAGGGAATGGAATTAGCTTTATCGAGTGTCTAATGTATCAATTTTCAATAAACTTTGTTTCTTACGGAAATTTGCCTTACATGGTCACTGATCTTACTAGTGATGTGTTGATCTTAAATCTTAAGAAGTGAGCGATTGAGCTCACTACGGGTAAATCTACACAGCAGTGTTATTTCAGAATAACATAGTCCATGTCTACACAGCAATCCATTATTTCGACATAATGTTGAGATAGAGGACTTCTTACTCTAACTCCTGTAACCCTCATTTTATGAGGAGTAAGGGAAGTCGGAGGAAGAGGGCTCTATCTCAAACTTCCTACTGGGTTGACTGCTCCAAAAGCCAAAATAAGACTTAGCTCAAGTTGCGTAGCTTATTTTGGCTTTAGCCCTACAGTGTAAATGTGTCCTTAGGTCAGCTGGACACTATGCAAAAGAAAAGTTTCCCAGAGTGGTTTCTGTTCTTTTGTATCTAGTCCTATATGCCTGTGTGCTACAGAGTTTGTACTTGGAAAATGATGCATTTGTTGTAACATCACTTCAGTAACAATCCACCAAAATATTAGGGTTCTCCTTTCCTTTTATAAATATGTATATGTAGAACCACATCCACATCTCTGTCCACAGAAATGACCCATGGATATCCATATCCACGGATGCAGATACCCCCAGATATAAAGCAGAGCTCTGTGTATGTGATTTCAGTGCACATCAGAGTTAAATGTGTCTGTTGAAGGGGGAAGTGGCCTACTTCCACAGTATGTAGACATAGCAATGCCTGTAATCTGACGTATACATAGATAAAACACATTTTAAAGGTGTTCCAGAATTAGAGATGGGCTCAGCTAAAA